CCCCAGCCAGCATGCTGGCTGGGGAATTCTGGGAGTTGAAGTCCACACATCTTAGAGTCCCTGAGGTTAAGAAACCCTCAACTAGATGATCTCCAAGGTCATTTCCAAAATTACATCCTACGACTTATGATTCTATGAATTCAATAACTGGCATACCAGGACGGGATTAACACAGTATTAACTCTGAGTTAGAATTAAGGTTACGTCTGTGTTAATCACTAGAGGGAAATAAAGAAGATGGAAGTTCTACAAAGTCCTGGCAGTCTACCCAAACACCAGACCTGTATGCTTTTCAATATTCCAGCCTGAGGGTTAGAATTTGTTCTTTTGTAAAACGGCAGTTGATATGGGCCAACACTAGTATTGTTCCCAATGCTACAAGTTCTGCCTTTTCTTCTCCAGTCCTAGACCATCATAGCAACACATATTTATTTATTTATATTTCAAATTTGTCATCGCCCATCTCACTGCAGAGCGACTCTGGGGGGTTTACAGTACAAAGAATATTAATTAAAATAGAATAAATATTAATTAAAAGATATCAAAATTCCTATATAAATAATTTTATTTATTATTAAATTTATATGCTGCCCATCTCCCCAGAGGGTGACTAATAAATAGTAGTAGTAGTAGTAGTAGTAGTAATATACCTTCCAAGGAACTGATGTTAACTAGGAGTTATTAGATTCAGGGAGCGTCTTCAAGGCACCAGCTACTTCCAGGGTTGGTTTTATCCCTTCTTGCCCCACGTGAGTTGGCAGAGCCAGGTCATATAATCAGGGGGTAATAAAAACAGAATCATTCAATACAATCACTCTTATCTCCCCTGTTTGCATGTGAAGCCTCACCTGGATACCATTACCCGGTCCAGGGTCAAATATGATTGTGCCAACATCTTCAGAAAGGTTACGGGGAAGACTCCATGTGATCCCATCATCACAGCTGCGAATTATCATGACACTGGAAGTGGAGCAGTCCCGGTGGTGTGCACAGAGAGTATATATCAAGAACACCATATCTTTTTCCCAATCCACCACCACAGCTCCAAGGTTAAGGCCGTCTGTTAGGGGACCATCATCAATTATGAATGAAGTTGGACTCCAGGTAGCACCTGGAAGGACATGCAGATGGTGAATTAAATTTCTCTGCTATACAAAGGCTAGGCTTTTTCAATCTGGCACCATCCTCCATCCTCCTCTTGGATTACTACCAAGAGTAGCACTGCCCTGAGTTTCCCACAGGGATAACTTAAATTAATTTGATATCAGATTGAAATAGCTAAGTAAATCTCTGTAAGTAACTTTGTCAAAGATCATGCCTGTCTGAATGAAAGAAATAGTGGATGCATTAACACTGCATATATTAGTTATAAAGAATCAAGGCAGGCGGTATCTTGAAGTATTTTAAAGTATCTTTAACTTGTAGGCCTTATTCTTTTGCCCAGTCCAGCAACAGTTGACACCATAGTTCCAACCACATGAAGAAAAGTGGGCACAAACTTTTTTTTTAAGCCTATGGTGATGGACAACTAGGCAAAGGAGTGTTGCTTAGCAAGAGCTGACGCTATACCTATGCTACATCTTCTCTTCCAGCCAATATTCCAATTCTCTGCCATTAAAGTGTCCATCAGGTAACCCAAATCAAAGATCCAGTCTTCTGACAATATTATGCCCATAATTCCTAGTCAGAATGGCCAGTGCAGACCTCTGGTCCTAACAGCCCTGGAATACCAGGATGAGGAAGCCTGGGAAGGGAGAGGAATCTTGCAATCCTCTCATATTTTGAATTGCAGCTCCTTTAATCCTTACCACTCTGGATTGGGAGTGATGAAACTTACAGCCAAGAATGCTGGAAATTATCCCATGCTTTCCCTATTCTCACGTTCCCTAACTGTGCTGACTAATCAAGGTTCTACCAAACCGCAGCTTTCCAGATGTTTTGGGACAACTCCCATAATTCTCAGCCAAAATGGTGAAGGGCCAGCTCTTCTAGAAAACCCCATGTTTGGAAAGGTTGCATGGTCTGACTCTTGTCCTGATTCCACATACATTTAGTAGAAATGAGAACTCTTTGATGGGATTTTCAATTTGATTAAACCATAATGTGGCTTATTTGGCTTCGCTTTTGTGTTGTATGAATTCGACCATTGTTCTAGGGTGAATCTGACCATGGTTATGATGGTTGGACAAACTCAGTCATTTGCAACTTCTTAAACTATGACTTAGTACAGTGTCTGAAACCAGCTCTAGTGTGTACAATTGTATACCTGAGTTGTGCCTGCACTGAGTCTTATTCTCAACTTCCATTAAACACCCATGGAGCCAGCAAATGCCATTCTGCTCCCTCTCCATGCCTGTGTTACACAGCTGCTGCACAGGCTCCTGGTTTCCTTCTGGGTGCAATTCAAGGTGCTAATTAGCACCTTTAAAGTGACCACCTTTCCTTGAGGTTATCTGCCCACCCCACCAGATCAGATAGGGTGGGTGTGCTTCAGATCCCTTCTATTACACCATGTCATTTTGCAGGACTTAGGAGACATGCCTTCTCTGTGGTAGTCCCTGCCCTATGGAACAACCCCCCCTCCCCCGCAAGAGATTTGGAGGGCCCCTATCCTCTTAGCCTTCCAGAAGGCCATGAAGATCTGGCTCTTCCCGCAGGTGGTGGGCCAGGACAGGAGTTGAGCCCAGCACATGCGTAGCTGTTATAGGATTATGCCTGCTTGGTTGGCGTGTGATGGTTTTTTTAATTTTCTAGGGTTTGGGTTTTTATTTTTCATATATTTCTAATAGTCTGATTGTTGTAAATCACCCAGGGTTATACTGTATAAGATGGGCGGCCATATAAATCTCTTAAATAAATAAAATAAATACATTAATTAAGCTGTGATGAAATGAGGAAAAGAAAGCTCTTTCCTGCTCTCTGAAACCTTGGAACCAGTGTCATGGTTCTGTTCAGCTTCTGTCTCTTTCAAGTGGGGTTTAATGTACCCAAATCATCTAGTTTTGATGATGTCTATTCCCATCCACAGTCTCTTCATTTCAGCTTGTATTTCTCCCCAGGGCTTGAATTATACTGGAAGAGGAACTGGGGGATGGGGGAAAGGGAAGGAATGTTGAACAGACCCACAAGCTCCACCCTGATACCCTACAATTTTAGCCAAGTCAAAGCCAGAGCAGTATAATTATTAAAGCAGTCTCCCCAATTTGCACCAAGACTTCTCTCAACAGACCCACTCAGCTTGATCAATAGTGGGGAGGTGGGGTATACTGAGAGATGCAGTTCTGCAACATCTGGAGGATCCCATGTTATGTACTCATGACTAAAAAAGATGGTTGTATATTCCATAAATATAGAACACATTGGAAACCTTGTAAATCAGTGTTTCTCAATCTTGGCAACTTTAAGCTGTCTGGACTTCAACTCCCAGGATTCAAGCTGGCTGGGGAATCCTGGGAGTTGAAGTCCACACAGCTTAAAGTTGCCAAGGTTTAGAAACACTATTCTAAATAGATGAATTTAGGATCATCCCCATCCTCAGAGATCTAGTTTCTCCTCTTCAGGCATCTACCAACACCCCCAGACTTTGATCACAGAGACACAGACCAGGATCTATTCCCATCCCTCCTCCTTCTTAGCCTCTCAAACCTTTGTCTACTGATCTGCGAAAGGCTATGAATTTAGCTCCACTGTCAGAAGAAGAAGTCTTCCTGGCTTCTGAAAAGGCCAGAAGGGTGCCGTTAGGCGTCGTCGTGATGAGAGGGACCCTGTACGTGTCCACCTCCCCGGTTTTACCGCCACTGACCCACAGCAACTGCTCCATGATGATGCGTGGTTTTATCTGCCAAGATAAATCAAGGAAATTAATCAGGCCCTTGATGCAAGGAAGTGGTAGAGAAACAATAATCAAATGTGCTATCCATGAGACCAGGTCTCTGCACAGACCTCTGCACCACCCTGCCCTTTTTATGGCAGCCAGATGAGACAGAAATGTTTCCGTTCATGGGATTCACATTCCCCACAGGAAATGCTAACTTCTTGTCTGAAGAGAGAACCAGTGTTGGGCCAAGTTACTGTTTTCCAATCAAACTTAGGTAAATAGATGCAGAAGAAACTGAGGCTCCTTTATCTTTAACAGAAGTATCTGCACAAAATTAAGCCTGTTCACCTTTGGACCTAAGTCCTGAAACACAATAATAAGTGAGAAACAAGCCCTCATCCACTGCACAGCTATATTCTTAGGGCTACACTATGCTATGAGGCAACTGAGCTTTTATAATGGCTGGTGTGGGTCTTCCGGGCTGTGTGGCCGTGTTCCGGAAGTTTTGTTTCCTAACGTTTTGCCAG